CCCATTTGCACTTGCTGCAGCCTCAAATTGTCGGCGATACATAGACCAAGGCGACTGTCCATCAAAAGTTGGTGGTTTCACGGAAGAACCCGATGTGGCAACCCTGTCACGACGATCTTGACTTCGTAGCGAGGCGATCTGATTCGCTACATCTCTTTTGATTGTATCGAACATGGAATCTATTCTTGAAACTTCCTGGTTAAGCTTGTCGTCAATTTTGGTGAAATCTGTCTTCAACTCATCTATTTGCACATCAGTTTTATGCAGAATTTGTTCGAAGAAGATTTTCTGATGTTCTCGTTCTTTTTCTTGATGCTCTAGAATTTTCTGTAACTCTTCTTGACGACGTTGCTCTTCTTCTATTTTTACCTCTCGACGACGTTTCTCCTCTTGTTTTTCTTTCTGTCGTCGTTCCTCTTGTTCCGCGAACTGATTTTGCATAAATTTCAAAATGTCTTCCATCGCGTCGTATGATGTACTCCTTGTATTCACCATACGTCTTCAAATGTCCTCGAAAAATCCACACTTCTGACACCACTGTTACGATTTTACTCTGGGTCCGTAATAATTCAACACTCGGTAGAACACTTAAAACGATTTATTCTGTACACTACTATACAATAATTACAATACTCGTACCATCTCGTACTAAACACTTCCGATTCACAACACTTCTTCGATCGTTATTATAACGCTTCCAAATAAAGACTTCACTTCCTGTCCCTAACAACATCTAATTATATTACCTAATAAAACGTCTAGATTCCACTCGAAATATCGTGAACAGGTCGATAATCTTCTCGAGTCATCTCAATAGCCGTCGAATCACCTAATTACTATTCCAAGAAATATGGCTTGTTTACTTCCCGTTCCCGCAGGTAGCTGGGATCGATTGCCAGGGTCGTAACATTATTATTTTCGTTAACAAATTTCATCGCACGGGAAAAAAGTGGGTACTTTTCTACACTGTTGATGGGTTTTGTGCTATAGTTCCGAAAAATAACCCAATAATACCGTCTCCGAAAAAAAACTGCAAATCCTTTCATCTTTCATTCAACTTCTCGTAAATTACTAAACAACCACTGAATTTGCAACTTTGGAAAATCAAATCACATAATTAGACTGACAAATATTTGATTACTTCAAAAGAATGATAAAGATGCCTGCAACGCAGGTGTCATTCCTGTTAGAAATTTTTCGTCGATAATTTTCCGACTTTAACCAGTTGAGCGCCGTGAGGTATAGTGCGCGTGCGACACATAGTTTTGCTCCTGGGGCAGCGCGGCATATATACTGTGACTCACCGCGGACTGTTAAATTTTCTTGTGTGGTATCGTAGAGATGCCTCGCTGCTGTACAAATCGAATTGGGGCTCGAAGAGTGTGGCCTGATGAACCATGCTTATGATCTTGGCCCGTGAATTTTTGTTCATTTTCAATTTTTTTTTCATGTTTGAATTTGAAAGTAGAGGATGGTCTTGTTTCGGTAGGTACTTCACTCACAAACCACGGGATATACTGATATACTGTATCTCATGAGATGGAAAGATAATGAACTAAAATGTTCGCAACAGGAGATTATATGTTGTTGGGAATACTTCCTCAGGCAATGAATTCCAGAGCCTAATAGCCGTTCTATGGATGAAGGAGTTTTGATAAAGTGCTATTCGACATTTAATACTGATTCCGAAATAGTATTACATATGGGGTTTTTCTTGACAGCTTTTCTGTTATAATTTTTGTTCAAATGGGTGGCGTTTTTCAGAAAAATTGAATAACTTGAACCGAGACTTGAACCATCAACAATTTGATAACAGATAACATATCAAAGTGATCCGTTGTCTGGTTCACCATAAACGTCTATATTTGTGTCATCCACTGTGCATCAGCCTGTATATCTACATAGTCATTGGCAGATTCGTTAAGAGTTCATCATATTATCGAGTTTCAAGGTGAGCGCGGCAGAAAGACACGATTCGCGCAATGACAGCATTGTGGGTTGCCTGATCTCGGGTAGCTATTTTGCAAGAAATAATTCATTTATCAATGCAACAGAACATACTGGTACTGGTACTGGTGGGGGACGTTTCCACGTCAGCAACTAGTCCCCAATGGGACCTTTTTGCCAACCCCAAGTGTTTTCAATGACTGATGTGGTTCGCTTTAGAGAGCTGGCTAACATCCTTTTCAGGCACCGCCCATCAGCTCTCTTTTCAGAGTTTTTCAGCTGTGTTTTGTAGGCTAGTAATGTACTCACTACCATATGCGCAGTGGCAGGCCTGCTAACTATCATCGTTAACCCCCGAGACCGAGGTCTACTTAAGCAGCTGGCCCGCTCTCACGCTCAGCTGGTAGTTTTTTCCACACCCACCTACATACACCGTCCTACTTCTTCTCTGACGCTCACAACCACATCATCATATCTTTCTGCGTGTTCTGTGTAGGCTTTGTTACTAACTCCATGCGCCACTTTAGGAGCAGCACTGTTAATTGGAACGCAACAGCGAATCGTGCAGGACTATCCCCAGCCGATGCTCCGAAGCTTTACAATATTTAATTCGTAAATAAAATATTGAAAAAAGTTCCTTGCCCGTGCTGGAAATCGAACCCACGACCTTGCGGTCGTGAGACGGACGCTCTTCCACTGCGCCAATCCCGGCCAACAGAACATAATATGGCGATATTTATTGAAAACGTCCTCAGATTTTGATATCTGATGCGTTGGCCAGAAACTATGGTGACTATATTGAAAGTGCATTCGGTCCGTTGTTAAATTTTCGGAATAAAAATTTCCGTGATACTGAAATCAGCTAGCGTGAAGGAAGTATCACCCATTCATGGATAAAGCAACTTTCGAGGGATCTTTCCGCAGCATATTGAGAGACTAATAATTGTTCGAAACTGGTACCTATACCATGAAACATTTCTTCACCCAGTATCACATATTGTAATATTGTATTTCATTCAATGTTGTACCTGTCAGAGTGAATTATGATGATTCTGTTATAAATAAAGTAATAAAAGTCGGTTTCCTTAATGATGAATTTCGATCAATTTTATTATCTGCTCAGGCTGCAAACATATACTCTGTCAATGGTAAATCATGGGTTATGAATGTTTATCCATACAATTTCGGTTGCTTCCAGATGTTTTCGACATAATGGGAACTACGTGTTTCACTCTTTCAGTCGTGATATGTCAGTAGTTACTAGTGGCAAATAACTTAATTTGTGATTTTCACACATTGAAACCATTCTACTACTGCTCTAAACGAAACGGAACATCTCGTTAGGCCCAAATTTCGATTCACCCACATTTCGATTCGTCCACATTTCGTCACCCATATTTCTTTAGGCCCACATTTCGATTCAGCCACTGTGTTCGAACGAACGATGCCTAGTTGCCAAAACTGATCGATGTTGAAAAATTCACCTTCCAGGAAGGTTCATTTAGGCCGAAGTAGGTCAGATTGTTTATAAGAAGTAGTCTCCTTTCTTTGGCAGAAAGGATACTTTCCTTATACTACATTACGTCTTAGAAATTCAGGGAGCCATAGAAGGAATAGGGAATATGGTATAGCCTAATATTGTCACATTGTGGTAAACCTACATTTGACAACAGGGTATGTTCGGAGACTGTGGGTACATCAACATGTGATCCCACAACAACGAAATGTGGGCCTATTCAAATGAGGGAGTATCGCAGTTTGGGCCCAACGTACCGCACCTCTGATCTATCATAAAACAACTTTTTTTTTCATGAATATTTGCCAAAATTACAGTTGCAACTTTGAATTAGTGCTGAACGAGAATGCAAATTCTTAACTTCAGAAGATTTTGTGTTCAAATTCTTATGGTGTGTGTTCAATAGATATAATTCAATGTTCGTCCTTGCATATAGCCAGGAAAGTAGACGCAGAGCGTTGAGAGGTTCTTGGCCATCTCCGCCATACAAAGCAATTAAAATGGATTGCCTGCACTCTCGATCTCCTCTGGAAGGAAATCAGGCTGCAGGAAAACAATTGTCGAACGAGGACAAGGTTTTGTTTGAGGAAAATAATGAAATTCAATATTCTTTGCGCAAATAGAGATGGTATCACACTCACTCAATGCATGAAGCGGCAAAGTAAAACGCACTACAACAATTTTCGCGTGAATACCTCATTATACCTGATATTTTCGCCGAATATTGGCAGTTTCCCATTCAAATTTTTTGAACCCTGCATCTTGGGAGCTATCACAACAACAACAAAAAATGAATTATAGCTCAAAATGTCAGGAATTTTGTATACTTTTAAAAACGTCACAGGGATATCTCTAGTCAGTGCCTTCGCATGTGTTTTCTCGCATAAAACTAAAATAAGTGAAAAAATAACGCTGTTTTTCGGTAATAACTCAACCCGCGTACATTTTAGAATGCTGCAAATCACTATCTGAAAGAACTGAAACAACATAATAAAAAAAGAAAGTTCACAACAATTATTGAAATTCCAGCTTATTTTGGTATATACGTTACTACTGGCCTAATAACTAGGTTAGGCAAAAATTCGTGTAAAGAAAAGTTGGCTTAGGCTGGCTCAGAGTCGTCATAGCACTCAGATGTTTTTTTTAATGATACAATTGAAAGCATTAGCATTAGTGTGGCCACTACCCATTGATTTTTTTTGTTCCAGATCACACCCAACGACGTGCCTCAACAAACGATGCGGGCTCGTCGACCAATATCTACTACAATCATCAATATCTATCAACCAGATAAATTTCGAGTACCCATCAAAAAAATAAACTAGCGAAAACAAAGGTTCTCGGCTCGCCGTAAACAAAACACCACAGTCGATCGTCGCTTCGCGAGACAATCAAACGCTCCGATAGAAAAACAATCGCGCTACGACAGTGAAGCTTTCCCTGGCCGTCATCCAGAAAATCGCCGGCGTTCCACGGGTGGAAGGGATTTTCCGATTCGCGAATATCATCGGGCAATCGTCGGCCCGTCAGCCGATATATGCGCGTCTGTTTCGGCACGTTGTGCTTCTCGTCTCGGCTGAATAGAAATTCCGCCGCCGACGAGGAAGCCGTCCACCGGCCGCCGCCGGTGCAGAGTTCGGTCAACGGAGGCTGTGCCATTAACAAGATGGCCGATCTGGAAGAGTTACAGGTGGGTGACATGTGACAATTTATTAACATGTGATTTTGGCTTGCTCGCGGTGGCGCCTCAATCTCATCAAACGAACTCCATGAATTTGTGTTTACAAGAGAGTACGAGAATTCACATGAATTTTACACATTTCAATGAAATTCCATGAATTCTTATGGAATGTATCAGTTCCTACGAATTCCCATTAGTTATTTTGAATATTGTTTTCCTCTGACTATATATTTTTTGTACTCACATAACTAAAATGGCATTTAGCGTACGGATATGTACCACGCTCTCGACCACGCTACATGATCGATTAATCACGGATTGACGATCTGTGATTTTTTCAAAATATTAAGCATGTTACCATGCAACACGATTTCTTAAACACATTATCATGGCAACACAGTTCATTAAACACAGCTTCAGTGATATGAGACAAGTCTGGCCTGTCAATTGTATTAACTGTCAACTGTTATTTTCAAATTATTCAAACAATATTCGTTTGTATCAGAATTCTTCATTGAAAATATATGCGAAATGTAGACGAAAGTGAAATCGAAGAGAATGTTCTGGTACTTGCATATCTTCAAGAAGTGTTGAAATGAAGAATCTATGTTTGAGAACAATTTATTTATTCTGCGCTAAGCATGACAATAAACGTGAAATAAAGGTTAGGAAGCAATGAACTGGACACATCTACAACCAATATCACCTATACGTGTCTCGCTGGTTGCATGCAGTTGCATGTATTATGCTCTCAATTCCCATTCCTTTCGAATTATTTTGTAGGTTAGCAGGAATAGCAGACAATGTAATTTTCGGAGTTTGTAGAAAAAATATAGTTTGTAACGCGTTTATAAACTCTTCTAGACACTCGTTTATTCAACACTCGCTCCGCTCTACTCCGCTCGTGCTTAAATTACTCGTTACTAAAAGGACGTTTATAACACTTGTTACATAATATACTATATTAATACTATATAAAATTTTATAAGTTTTCACAATATATTTAAATTTCCGTCTTAGTTATCTGAATTTTCATAACAAATAAAGAATTCTCATGTAATTGACCTAATTTCCGTTCATGAGTCCTTTTACTTTCTTGAAACATCTGCATTCATTTATATCAATTGAATTTACATAGCATATTTACTCCTCAGTTTTGTGGAAATCTTATCGTGAAGTTTTTACATTTGCCATGGATTTCCATCAAGTAACGGCGAATTCCCATGGAATTCCCTGAATTTATTAAACATCCGTGCATTTTCATGTCATTTCATGATTACTCTAATTTCTTGGATTTTTCTGGATATTCAGAGAATATCATTGAAATAAAAACAATAGATAATTTGACATATGAGATCCAGAATCCAGATCAAATAAGGTCTTGAGAATGCGAGGAATGCACAAATGTGAATCAGGATTAAAAAAAATGTGATAGAATTGACCAATCAATGTTTCATGGGAATCCAGGGAACAACAACTGTTTATATGGAAAATTAGAAGATATTATCCAAAAAATTCGCGTCTGTTTCGGCACGTTGTGCTTCTCGTCTCGGCTGAATAGAAATTACAGGTGGGTGACAACTTGACATGTCATTTTGACTTGCTCGCGGTGGTGCCATACCTGGCTAAATCTCATCAAACGAACACCATAAAGGACACCGCACAAAACCATAGGGTATTGGCCCACAGTGGGATTTGCCTGAAATTCGCCTCTGTTATTGGTATGGAGTTTCTGATCAAATGTTTTCATGTGACCAATCGTCTAAGACCAAAGATTTAGCTCTCAGGGCCGTATTTAGTATAGGTGCCAAATAAACAATGACACTTTTTTTTCAAGACCCTGATTTTTGTATCTCCCATTATAATTTAATTGAATGAGAAATGTTGCAAAATCTTGGCATTTGTCTTTTAGCACAAGTCCTCTGTAAAACATGCCTTGTCCTACAGGACCGTATTTAGTAAAACTGTATTTGCCAAAGTGCCGAATCGAATTGGTTTTGTTATTAATTTCTTATTTCTTGTCCTATTCCAGTGGTTGTTTGATAGGTGAATGTAGATTTCTTTGTGCACATAACAAAAGTGGTCACCATCTTAATATTCAAGATGGTCGGCCTAACATTTAATCTTTATGTAGGACATATCTCGTAGCTTTTTAGGAATCATAGTATGTAACAGGAAAAGATAAGAACACGTTTCGATTGTTGAAATCGGTCATTTACTTTTTCAATTACCTAACACTATAATATAAATATAACTCTACTATCTAATTGAAACTTCATCTAATTCATCACTAACAAAGTTGAAACCGATATTTCTTGAATATTAAGATGGTGACCACTTTTGTTATGTACACAAAGAAATCTACATTCATCTATATAAATAAGAAAGTAATAACAAAATCAATTCGATTCGGCACTTTGGCAAATACAGTTTCACTAAATACGGTCCTGTAGGACAAGGCATGTTTTACAGAGGACTTGTGCTAAAAGACAAATGCCAAGATTTCGCAACATTTCTCATTCAATTGAATTATTATGGGAGATACAAAAAAAAATCATGGGCTTAAGTGTCATTGTTTATTGGGCACCTATACTAAATACGGCCCTGAGAGCTAAATCTTTGGTCTTAGACGATTGGTCACATGAAAACATTTGATCAGAAACTCCATACCAATAACATATGTGAATTTCAGGCAAATCCCACTGCGGGCCAATTCCCTATGGTTTTGTGCGGGGTGCTTTGTAATTACAAGAGAGTATACGAGAATTCTCGTGAATTTTTCCATATTTCAATTAAATTCTATGAATTCTCATTGAATTTATCAGTTCCTACGAATTTCCATTAGATATTCTGATCTGAATATTGTTTCCTCTGACTATTTTTATTAATACTTAGTATATAAAAATTTATAAGTTTCCACAATATATTTCAAATTTCCGTTTTAATTATCTGAATTTTTATTGAAAATATCGTATTTACTGATGTAAAACCATCTGAATTTACATAACAAATTAATTTTTATGTAATTTACCTGATGCCCATTCATGAGTCTTTTTCTTTCTTGAATCATCTGTACTCATTTATTTCAATTGAATTTACATATCTTACTAATGTGAAATTGGCACCGGTTGAAATTAGTTCTGATATATTTTTTTGTTGTATTATAAAGAGTACTAGAGTTCGAAAAACAAATTGTTATTTGCTTTTTTGTTTTATAGTACCCATACTGATAGGCGCACTGATTAGATAACACAGATCTTATACGTCTGTCTCTACCATGATGGAAGCAAGCTGAAGCCAATTTATTTTACCTCCCATCCTGTATATATAAACATATATATAATTCATACCCAGACACGAACTATTGTTTACATTGAGAAATTTGCTAATACATCGTGAACATAATTTGATGAAAAAGTATTCTACTATTCTACTAATGAAAGGTTTATCCGCGATTCAATATATTGAAATTATCGCAATTATCAATATCACCTTTCGCTCTTGTTTATTGCCATTTGGACGATTTCAACGAGGGTTCATCCACTAGGTCCAATATGTGTACACTCTGCGTCCAATCCCGATGTAATCCATCCAATCTTGACCAATATGTCCTATCTCAAACGAATATGACCAATCCTAGTCCAATACGTTCAATATTCGTCCATTTTGAGTCCAATCCGCCTATTCCTGAGCCATCCACTCTGCGTCCAATCCCGATGCAATGCATCCAATCTCACCACAATATGACCAATCCTAGTCCATTATGCCCAATCTTGGTCCATTATGTCCAATCTTGGTCTATTACGTCCAATCTTGGTCCATACCGTCCAATCTTGGTAGATTCCGTCCAATATTAGTCCATTCCGACCAATCTGGGTCCATTCTGTCCAATCCAGACAATTAGTAGGTGCCTAGGTGCCTGTGTCATTTCGTGGGCAGTTCGAAGACTGGAAGTAGCGACAAAACAGTCGGTCCAATCTCATGCAGTCCGGCTAATCCGGTCCAATCTGGTCCATTCTCGACCAATATTGTCCAATTTCTATCAACTATGTCCATTATTGTCCAATATTGTCAAATTGAGTCCAATCCTGTCCAATTTCTTCCAATATTAACAAATGCATTCTTTGTGTACGTTTTTTGGGCAGTTGAACCACCTGTCGGATTTCAAGCAGTTTGTGTCGATATAGAACCTATATGTGTTATTTTATTGTTAAAAATACAACACGAAAAATATTATTTATCAAGAGATATCGTGGCATTTCATATCGGTATTGCTATTTTCAATAGACCTTTCAGTTGTTTCATCGATAGTAGCAAGCAAATTGACAACCATCAATACCATCGACAACAAGATCGGAAGTTATAGTTATTGAAGTATCATGAAAATTATGATGAACTTATATAGAGATGTTCAAGCAATAAAGGAATTTGTTGAAAGTGACAACTCATTTCCAACAATGTACCTTTGATTGCAATCTATCGATTTCCATCAAACGTATTTCTCCACAACAATATTATCAAATCCGAGATCAAATCATTACTCGCGTATAGGTTTCCATTAACATATCAGTGATGGTTATAGATATATAGGTACAGTGACATATGTGATAGTATAAAAAGCAAGCCGAATCGAAATAACCATGTGAAAAATGTTATCTCAAATATAATACCTTATCATTTGGATACTTCAAAATCGAGACATACTGAATCAATTTAGTTCTGCAGTACTTACGAATTGTTAGTAGGTATTGTTCAAACTCATGTTCAAATAAAAACTCGCGCATCAGTTATTTGATGATTTAATAGAGTGCACTGAAAATAATGGAACATGGGGATTAGACACAGTAAGGTAATATAACTGATCACGATATTTTCTCGTGCACATCAACATTCTTGGAAAAGAGTGCTTTGACTATACATAAATTTTTGGTTTAGGAACAGGGATATTTATAGGGGAAACTGGCCTCCTGTCTAATTTGCTGAATTTTTTATAGGTATGTTGTAGTCCAAGACATTTTGAATGAATTGTCCAAAGGCCCAACTTTCGCTATGGCAAGTTTTGGCGCTAGATACCGCTGAAGTCGTATTATTTATTTTCGATTTATTCTGATGAATAAACCCTTTGAGTTATGATATAGTTTTTTCTGTGACGGGAAAAAAGTTTGGCTTTTCATCTCTGTTGGCAGCTCGGTTGGCAGGTTAAAAAATGTCACTTTTCATAAATTACTTTTTTCCCATGGTGAAAAAGTGAGTACTTTTTTCCCGGATATATATCACATATATACAGGGTGGGTCACGGTCGATGGCACCTTAGACGTTTACGGAGAACGGGACATAAGATCATTCTGAAAATTTGGTTACTCAAGTAATTGCTCTTGATCTATCGATCTAAAATATTTTCAGCTCCGCGGCGTTGCCGCTTCTATCGAAAAAAAGCAACAACTTTGTTATTTAAAATGGAACACCCTGTATTTTATCGCATTTTCAGATTCTCTCTGAAGAGCTGATTTCATCGATGTATCACACTTGGGGTCTAGCGGAAATGATTACAGAGATATAGGGTGTGAAAAATCGACATTTTTCAACTTTAGGAATGTTTTTTGTCGAAACTATTCATTATTGGTCAAAACGGCTTACATGTCCCTATCTCAACTTTTGATTAACTATCTACTGATATTTAATTGGGACATATACCGGGTGATCAAGAATCTGAATTCTGCACCACCCTGTATTTGTTTCAATTAAATGTCAGTAGATAGTTGATCAAAAGTTGGGATAGGAACATGTGAGCCGTTTTGACCAATAATGAATAGTTTCGACAAAAAAAATTCCTAAAGTTGAAAAATGTCGATTTTTCACACCCTATATCTCTGTAATCATTTCCGCTAGACCCCAAGTGTGATACATCGATGAAATCAGCTCTTCAGAGAGAATCTGAAAATGTGATAAAATACAGGGTGTTCCATTTAAAATAACAAAGTTGTTGCTACTTTTCGATAGAAGCGGCAACGCCGCAGAGCTGAAAATCTTTTAGATCGATAGATCAAGAGCAATTACTTGAGTAACCAAATTTTCAGAATGATCTTATGTCCCGTTCTCCGTAAACGTCTAAGGTGCCATCTACCGTGACCCACCCTGTATACACTGTTGATGGCTTTTGTTGTGCTATAGTTCCGAAAAATGAGTTAATAATACCGTCTCCGAGAAAGAACTGCAAGTCCTTTTATCTTCCATTCGACTTCGCGGTTACGTATATTACTAAACAACCACTAAATTCGCAATTTTTTGAAATCAAATCACAAAATTAGACTGTCAGAAGTGACATCAGATATTTGATTACCTACTCCAAAAGAATGATAAAGATGCCTACAACGCAGGTGTCCCTACTGTTAAAAACTTAAAATTTCACGTCGATAATTTTCAGATTTCAAAATAATGTTATATCTTCTCAATATTGATTCGTCCTTTCTTCTGTCACAGAAAAAAATAGTGTATTATACCGTATTATACACGGGAAAAATATTAGATTTTAGCTCACGGTTTTTTGTCACAACACAACCTGGAGCTAAAATCTACTATTTTTTCCCTTGTATAATAAATAACTATTTTTGATAGGATGAGTCACTACGAGAAGTATGCATCGATATTTTTGCTGTTGGTCAACAATTATACATTGTAATTCAGCTAATATGGGTTGAGTTGAGATAATTATAATAAGTATTCAATAATTCTAAAGAAAAATACATTGATATGTATCGATATGTATGGTATTTCAACAACGGAACACGTTTTTCGAATTTTATAATGAAAAGATACACAAAGATAATATTAACCTGGTCCATATATAACATCAATCACATCGAATCACATGCATCATGAGTGGAATAAGATAACGAATTATGGAGTAGGTATTTAGACGAGTATTTAGATTATCAATGACATTGCATGATTATTTCGGGTTAGACTTTTCAAAATAATCTTTTGTAGAAGAGAGACAATAATAAACGAAATATGAGTAACTTGAAGAAATAATGCCACATAATGAATAGATTATACTTATTGAAATATCACACAACAATCGGTCCTTCGTTATTATGACGCATTGCGGTGTCCCATACGATGTCATAAGTCATGGATCAAAAGTAGTAGGGTGGTAGGGAATCAATTACAATAAAACTCGTCATGTTTGTGACTCTTTCGTTTACAAATTTCATCCACATGGAAGCACCTTTCTCCAGAAATAATTTTATGACATGTATCACTTCTTATCAATTACCTGAGAAAAATGTTGTTTTCCTCGAGTTTTGTCATTGAATGAAATCACAGGAAGGAAGGAATGCTCGAAGTCATCTCCACAAATTTCAATGATATTATTACACAATCAGAAGGGACATGTTTCCGTCTTATAAAAGACCATCTTCAGCCTAATTGGAAGGTTTGGAGTTGAAAAAATTATTTCATTATGATGCTACTATTCCTTGAACTGTCAATGCCCATAGTCAAGAGTTCCAAGGTTCTGAAAAAACGGGTTCTCAATAAATGAAGGGCCCCGTGCCCTGAGAGCGTATACTATTTTTTAATGGACATTTCATATACCAAAATGGTATATGAAGGGTATTGTTAACGCAAATTTTGCTTTCGCTCGGCTTCGCTAAACGCTCCGCCTCGCAAATGCAAAATTCGCTTGTCAAACAAAGTGTCACTTTTGATCCTAATAAAACAATCTACTATTTCAGTACAGTAATTCTATTTTTCATTACTTCAAATACTTTTTAAGTCTCCCGACATCATTTTCAAGTTCGTATCGAGGAGACCCAGGGTTGTTCACATTTCTCGTCTGCATAAGTTCGCGATAGTAACCGAGTGAATCCCAGTAGGTATTCTCAGAATCCCGATGAGCACAAGAAAATTCGGAACGGTGTGTTTGAGTTTTTGTGTAGACATGAGGTGAACTCTCTGAACTGGCATACCGAATACTAGTCTCTATTGCAGTAGTGGTATACAGTGGCGCAATCAACTCCAGCGCCCTTTCTTCCAGAGAGAAAGGAAACAATTTCTTTAGAATTTCAAAAATTCAGTTTTCGAAAAATTCCGTTTTATTATAATTTCGTTACTACAGATGTTTCTTCGCTGATGAATATTTATCTAAATCAACTCTTAAATACTGATGTACAAAAATGAAATCTATTTTATACAGCGTGCCTCTTTGAACGCCCCCCTCTGTATCTCAGCTATTATAGTCGTGCGATTCCGATATGAATAACCATCAATATGAACAGTTTTGGACAGTGCCCTCCTCTTTTATTGAAATATAAAGAGGTCGTTTCTTATGAAATCATATTAGGATTTTTTTTGCAAGAAAACTAACTCCATAATATTGTTCATCATGCTTTCAACCGAGCTTTCAACCCTCCATATGCACAAAATTACCTCATTCCGAATTAACGTAATTGGCTTATTTTTTTTTATTTTCGGCCACGAAAAAATAGTGAATTAATGATATTAACTGCAAATTTTGGGATGTTCAATAGCTCCGGTAGAGAGAAAATAATGATTTGAAAGAGAAATCAAGATATACTATTTTATGTTGAACTCCGAGTTTCCTTCATTATATACTTCATATTACTTCATAATATCATAAGATTCTTTTCAATTCCATTCAAAGTATCTTGAATCTAAAGTATTCTGATTGATTCTCAAATCCTTTTTAATTACTCTTCAGTACTTCTTAATTACATTAATTTCTTTGAAATATTTTCTAAATATTTTCATTACTTACAACTATCACATACTTTAAATATGGTGTAAACTTTTATGAAGAGTTGTTTGCCCCTCGGTATTAGTATCTCATCCCAGTAGTCTGCGTGAGACCTTGAAGAATTTTCCAGATGTCCCATCTCTGTCTAGCGTCATCTTCTCTAATTTATTCGGTTATAGTACTGCTGCTGATCCCGCAGAAAGGTTCTGATGCCCCACGATGGGTCCTTTTTTAGCGAGTTATTTGTTCGCTACCCCGGAATGTTTTGGAAACCATATCTTAGTCTACCTGAAACCTTCAAGATTTTTTCAGATGTCCAATCTCTGTTCAGCCCCTTCTTATCTAATTTCTGCAGTTACAGAACTGCTGCTGATCCCGCAGGAAGGTTCTGCCCACGATGGGACCTTCTCTAGCAATTTTGTCGAAAATGCCCCAGAACTCATAGAAGGGTGACGGTTTTTCTGTTGAATAGATCGTTCAGGTTTTTCCGGCCTTCCCAAACCATTTTATATAAATCTCGATTTTGAACACCCATTTCCGCTAGACTCCCAGTGTGATACATTGATGAAATTAGCCCTTCAGGAAGAATCTGAACATGCAATAATATACAGGGCATTCCATATGAATGCGACTTGTCAAATCGTCACTGCTGAACGAATGTGAGAAAATGATAGAGTGATGTGTAGTTATGGTTTCAGGCGAGGTTTCAGGTATGATTGATATCAAGGTACTTAGCATGTTTCCGATAAAATAAGAAGGGGAAACACCTCACTAGGTACAACTATGTTACAAAAATATACAAAGTTCTTACCCCCGCAGATTGTCCTCAAATATGAAAAGCCGATTGAATTGAGACAAGTGTATATTGCTCCATTCAAATGAAAAATTCTTGTACGAAGCAATTCAATTTCAAGAAAATGGATTCGTTTGATCGAAGAAATCCTTTTTATCTGTGTAGAGCTGATAGTCACTGCACCTAATTAGTATACTGTATTTCTTTTCTCTTTCAGGCTCAGCTGGCTGAAAAAGACTCGACGATAGCCGACCTGCGCCGCCGGCTTGCCGCCGTCGACCTTGAGCTGATGCGCGAGCAGCGCGTGCGCGAGCTCCAACTGGCCCTCGACCGGCGCGACCGCGACCTGCTCAACCTGCGCTCGCAACTCGATAAGTTTCAGAGCGTGTTCCGCGTGCACAACCCGGCCAGCCCCAAGAGGGCGGCCGTGGGGGCGGCGGGCGGGCGGCCGAGGAAGCAGCGGGCGGGCATATCGGCGGAGCCGCAGAGCGAGGCGACGCTGTTGGAGCTGAGCAAGCAGACGTTCGAGACGTACGCCAAGGACGAAAGGTCGGTGTTTAGTGTTGTTTTCAAGGGTTTGGCAGGCATACCACATACCTTATAAACTGCGTGACAAATGAAGTGGTCCACCTGAATATTTCACCCAATTTTGAAATCAAATGTAAGAAATACTAGTCCGATTCTGGAACGGATTGTTCCATGTTGTGTAAAAATCGTTTGAGAATAAGATGGTTTGCTAACTCTTCCCATTGTAATGAAGTGTTTTTGACCAGCTTCATAACTAGACTGGTTTTGATCATTATTTAAGTATCTGAGACTAATTCTAGTTGAATTTCACTTGTTCGAAAGCTCGGAACCTGAAAACCTGAGAGAGCTGAGTAATTCATTGATTCCTGACTTTCCAAAGCTTTTCCTGATAGTAAACTCTGATAAACATCATTACAACCCTAAAGACTTCAATATTTTTCAACCCTTTGCTTATGATATGAAATTTGGATGAATTATTTATCAGTTGAAATGATGGATGTTTACCTGGTCATAACTTTTTTGTTATTGGATATTTTTCAGCCAAATTCATTCAGTAGCATTAGCAAGGGTAGTAGATTCTGTTCCTGTTAGGGTTAAATACCATTCTTCCGCATTTTTGTGAGTTTAAAAAAATGTGCTTTTGGGTGATAATTCCTGCAGACATAGTTGAGGATTCCGACCAATAAGAATCTAGGAATGAGCTGTCCTTGGACGGAGGTCAATGGGGAATATAAATACTGAAGACAGCTAAGGGATCGCTTTCTCTAAGCTCTACTACACTACCTGCTCGACTTGCTCTTCAAGCTCTTGGTTCTCTTGCTGATCTCCTAGTGCTCTCATGTTTCATTCAAAACCAGTGTAAAGTATTAATGTATAGTGATTTCCTGTTGCACATGTAAGTTTGTATGATTTTTTTCACCATTATTATTCATCCTGTTTATAGATTCATTTCATTCCTGTTGTTTTTCATACCGATACTCGCCCAACTTGTGTAACGAATCCAGAAAGTTGTATTTGCGAATAAACGGTTTTTGTGATCGCATATTTCATACTTCTTTCTCTGTTGTCATTGTTTTCTGTTCCGAATAGTTCCAATAATTCAATAAATGATTTTCAATATTTTCATTTGTTGAATTGCTGATTATTATTATTTTTCCTTGAACGTTTCAGTCCTGTGAACCGGTGTCCCTGTGCTTTGTGTCCCGTCAGGCGATGGTCTATGGTTCATGAAATTTTGACATGAATGGAAAAATATAATTAACCTCACTAAAATTCCGATATCAGGAAATAAGAAAATCGAAGGAAAAGGAAAGATAAATATGAATTGAATCTGTTTCATTCGAATGGAACTGTGTTTCCGATTCTCCAGGTAGACCTAATGAAATAGGGTGAATAAATAATTTTCCAGGCCGAACCTAACAATACCAGAGACCCGAGTGATATTTTGCTTCGATTCCTGTAATTATCCCGACTGAAAATAGCTATCTACCAGTATTCCAGGCTAAACCCAGGGTTTGTAATTAAAGCCTACACTCCCTTGGCTCCTTATTGATTCCAGGTCGATTCAATAACATTGACCCCTGGTTCATACTGTAGGTAGGTAGGTAGGTAGGTAGGTAGGTATACCTCCTGTACCTTTCTCCAATGTTGCTACTTTGGGCCTCCTTACAAACTCAGTTTGTGGGAGCAGGTGAAGTAAATCACCTATATCAAAAATCTGGCGCTCGAGACACCCAGACATGATAAAGGCCGTTACACCATTAGGTTTGTGTTTCAGATCTACAGAGAGAAATATGGACCCATTACAAAAATAAATATTTTCGAAGTTATCCCAATCATTTGGAAAAATTTTCGGATTCTTTTCTAGGGTATATTTTGATTGCTTGATATGTTTCGCCCAAACGGTTTCGAGAATTTTCCACTAGCATACTTTATTGAGGCGCAACATTTTTATTTAGGGAAAGTTGACGTTTTGATAATTGTCTATAATATCAGCTGATCTGTTGATGAAATAAAACAGTTTTTTCATGAAATCGATAAAAACACTTTCTTAAGCCATCAGAAAAATTTCTGCGGTCGTGGTGGGAATCGGACCCATCTACCGGCAATCCAACGTGGATAGAATACTGACGTTTCAACCATGAGGCTACGCTGGCCAGTATTTCAATATTTGAGAAAATATTTTATCAACATGCCATCAGGAGATCAGAAATGATTCTCGACTGAATTTTACGATTCTTTGGTATCTCGTCACCCTGATGACTTTCTCCATGTAACGATTTCATGAAGAAAGTCTCTCATTGCATAAACAGATCAGCTGAAATTAAGGACACTTCAAAAAAAGTCAATTTTCCATACAAAAAATGTTGCGCGTCAATGTTGTATGCTAACGAAAAAATCTCGAAACCGTTTTGGCGAAACACATCATGCAAGCATGCCGTACGAAAAAATCCGAAAAATTTTCCGCATGTTTGGGATAACTATGAAAATATTGATTTTTGTAATGGGTAAATGTTTCTCCCTGTAAATCTGAAAATACAAACCTAATGGGAAAACTAAGCAAATCATCTCATTCTCAAACAAACATAAAATTTGATTTTGAAATTGGGTGAAATATTCTGGTGGTGGAAATAGACAGAGCCACCTTTGGCGAATTCAAATAAATTGCTCATCCCGCTGCGATGCTGATCAAATCATGCATAAGATGCGAGCATATCATTATCTGATACGCGAGGATATCGTAGCGCCTTATTCCCACTCCCATCTCTATTTTACTGGCTTTCCATACGGATTTCGAAGTCAGCCGCCTTGATTTTTTCGCTTGCTGCCTTGCTGAATCCCGTAAAGGAGCCCCTAGACTGCGTTGTTGGTGGGCTGTTCTGTTCGTTGAACAAATATGTTCGAACAAAAATGAAGCAAAACCGAAGTGAGTGGTGTGTGGCTAGCGAAAACGACCATATTGCAGCCACATACTTCGGTGTTCCGGAGCAGACTTGTTCGTCGAACAAAACAGCCTACCAACAACGCAGTGTATAGGTGGCCACAGACTAATATCGATTATATCGATTATATCGATTATATCGATTATATCGATTATATCGATTATATCGATTATATCGATTATATCGATTATATCGATTATATCGATTATATCGATTATATCGATTATATCGATTATATCGATTATATCGATTATATCGATTATATCGATCAGATCGATTATATCGATTATATCGATTACATCGATTATATCGATTATATCGATTATATCGATTATATCGATTATATCGATTACATCGATTATATCGATTATATCGATTATATCGATTATATCGATTATATCGATTATATCGATTATATCGATTATATCGATTATATTATCAGTTTTATAAGTAGATGTTCTGTTTTTCATCAAAGTGCGGCTCACAAGAGTAATGAATGAACTTTATTATAGGAAATTCATCAGCCCGTTTCATTGATCGAATTGTACTGACTTTACCATTTTCGATGTCCTAATGGTATATCTTACCCATTTTCAAAGAAAGAGATCTGCGGATTTCGCGAATGTTGACTACTTTCTTGTGAAACTCATGATACCATAAACACAATTTGTCATAGTTCGCTTCGTTTCATATAGTGCAAAATTCAAAATGTTGCCTCTTAGGACCACCTGTATCTGAACGTATAGAAAAAGTAGAAGTTGTCTCTTGTTTACATTCTCCACGGAGGATCCAGTGGCATACTTAGTCAGATTTTCGAAACGAACTTTTCAGATAGATGCTTTGCGCTTTTCAAAACTTGTATTTTGATAATTTCCAGTTTTTTCAGTAGGTATATCTTATTGATGGGCCTTGGCAACATTTTCACGAATGTTCATATTTACCCTGTTGCTGACAGTATTTTCTCACATATTAGTTTCAATTTTATATTGTTACACCAATATTCACCACAATTTATTGGCTATAAAAGCTGTGATTCTAATAAGTATGTGGCAATGAAAAAAAGTGAGTGCAGAATGTTTTGAAATTTTTGTCAACTGACTACCTGTCGTTAGAATCAGTAATAATGGTTGATGATATTGATGGTTGGTTATCATTCGCCATTGTATATGAAACAAGACAGGTAGTCAGGTGGAAAGAATTATAAAACATTCTGCACTCGCTTAGTGTGTGACAAACAATAAAAATTATCTATATACAAGGCTAATACCCAAAATGTCGTACTAACTATTGTGTTTTCGAAAAGCACAAAATATCATTATTCCAATTATTTTGGGATTTTCTCTCCTCGTCTTTATAAAATGAAAATATGAATATTATTTCGATATACGTGTAGTAAGGACAAATCAGATGATTCGCCCCAAAATGTCACTGTGTTTGAAGAATTTTCCTATCAGAGAGCCTGAAAGAAAAAATTCACTACTCTCTCTGATAGGAAACCTCTTTAAACGCAGTGACATCTTGGGGCAAATCATCTAATTTGTCCTTACTACACGTATATTGAAATGATATTCATATTTCTATTTTATAGAAACGAAGAGAGAAAATCCCAAAAAATTTGGAATAATGAATGTATCACCTCCTCGATTAACCTACAGGCAGTATTTCACAAAATATCAATCCATAAATATAAAAAATATACTGTGTTGTATTTGAAGAAATATAAATTCAGTTATATCTGAATAATGAATAACAGGAGCCAAAATTATTATTTTTTGACATACCCCGTATAAGACTGAAAAACTTTGATACTTATCTAATATTTGGGTCAACGATTTCAAGCCTGGCAAAGCTTTTCACGACGAATAACATGTTTTCCTGAAATTAATAAAGAACAAGTTTTGAATTTGCTGCCAACTGTTCCAAACCAAGGTAACGTTTCTTATATGATTATCAAATATACAGAGAAGTGCACGAAAAACGGACACAACTGTAACTTCTGAATCATTCGATTTCGGAATTTGAAAATATACTGAATTTCTCATCAATTGACAAGACAATTTTAGTTCGAACACTACCTGTTTCAGCAGAAACGAACCCAACTTTGTATCTTCAAATTGGACACACTGCGTTATATTCCATAATAGTTTAGGTATTATTATGACGAATTCAGTGATACCAGGTTTGATAGGGTTATTTCAAATGATCACGAAGGTATTTGATTTAGATTTCTCCATAAATGCTCAATGGGTGTTTACTTCGCAATATCTGTACTTCTCTGTCACACTCATTGGGCATATGGAAGCTAAGAACGCCATTATCTTCGTATTCGTTTGAAATAACCCTGTCAAACCCGCTATCCTAGAACTCGTTATGATAATCCTTATTGCCAAATCATGGAATAATAAACATTAAAAAATCAGCAGTTGGGATAATTTCCGGTAAGACTGGAAGTGACAGAACTGATATTTTGTCAATTGATCAGGATCTGATCCCGAATGAATCAGAAATAACAGCACTGGCCGGTTGTTGTGCACATCTCTGTACATATTAAAAGTATTCTGATTTTTCCAATCATATGGAGGTAGAATTCTCGAATTTCAAGGAAATAGAAAGCTTTCAAAGATACATTCCATGATCGAATGCGATTATCATCAGTGGAATACACTGCTCACCGGTAGCAATGGATTCACTGATATTTCCAAAAGGAGTTTCAGTTCTGAAAAATGTATTCCTCGCCTTACTCCTCATGAAGGCAATCTTGTACATTCGATAATCAGGATGATACAATTTGCTGAAGCGATAAATTGAAGCTATGGAAGGTAAAATCATTTCCCAGATTTTTTTATATCTCTCTCTCTCTTCATTTCTATAGATAAAAATCATCAGCAACATGCCTTCTCAGTATGACACTTCTCAAGACAATTTGAAAGAATTACTTTTTCCATTCTTTATGGGATCAGATTCGTTACCGAAATATCAGAGTATAAATTTTCAAGTAATGTGATTCCATATTTTTTGAATAATACTCTTCTTCAACCATTTTGAAAACTGAGTGGCACTGAAAACCGAATGAATTTTTCTCTTAGGCTCTCTGATAGAAAATTCTTTGAACGCAGTGATATTATGGGACGTGTTCTGACTACATGAAATGGTTCATATTTTAATGTTGCCTATGTTTCGGTTAAATATCTTATTCTTTGACAAAATTCGTTGAGAATGCAATGAAATGTACTCACTAGAATTGAAATCACGAGTCCAATCTGGATCAGTAACGAGGAAACGGAGGGAATAAAGTCATTTTTTTTTTCAGTTCTCTAAAGTTGCCGTAAAAAAAATTCTACTATTTTGAAAAATTTTCAAACCGTATCATCCTGAAGTTAGGTAAACTATCAATACGAATATCTGTTTTTTTTTATTTATGAATCAAACATGTTTCAGAACGTTCATGCATATTTATCTCAAAAACGGTTCGTTTATCGAAAAAAATTAAAGATCTACACAATTTGATCACTGAAAGATGCCAGAGGCGTACTACGAAGAAGTTTGGAGGGGATAAAAAGCCTCTACCTCCAAAAACGTATCACCCTGTAGATTTTGAAAATCTTCAAAATGCTTGAAATGATGATCTTCTAGGAAGTATTGACTACACCAGATTTCAAAATGATATCTTGAAAAGTAAGCAAGATAGTTCAGTTGATAAAAAAAAATAATTAAACTTTGACCCCCTGTAGCTCCGCTACTGAACGAGATCGGACTAATGTTTGTATGAACTCTTGTGATTAATATGATGAGATCTATCTCCTATTTCAGTTTGTGCCTTAAAACCTGAATCACCCTGTATATTCTTTAGCGTTATAGGAATATGACTGGAAAACTTCACAATCATTTTTCGTCAAATGGGAAGCATGGGGAATTCTTCGATATTTTCTAGACTAATAATAGTGAAATATTCATTTTCAGAATGAAAACACGGCAGCAGAATATGTTGAATTATCGCGAAGACATTCAATGTTCCATTTAGTAAAAAATGTGCTTGTTGCGTTTGTTTCAATCAGTGGTTTGATTCATCAAATAATCGAAAATCATCCCAAACAAACCCTGAACAGCATCTATATGCATTCGGCGGTACTAACACAAATTTTCTGTGCATCCAACTGTGATGAAGTTATCTGTAATAATTGGATATTTAGTGTATTTACAGAATGCTGTACTGATGAAATACGATTCTGATAGAATACGGTTTTGACGAAATACGGTTTTGACGAAATACGGAACTGACGAAATACGGTTCTGACGAAATACGGTTCTGACGAAATACGGTGATGATGGAATACGGTTCTGATGAAATACAGTTTTGATGAAATATGTTTCTGATAGAATACAGTTCCGATGGAATACGGTTCAGATGAATTACTGAAACTATAAAATACAGTGCCGATGAATTGATGTGACGATGGAATACAGTTCCTATACGATACGATTTTGATGAATCACGATTCTGATGTTTTACTGAAGCGACGAATTACGGTTCTGATAGAATACCCTAACGATAGAATTAGATTATGATAAATTACCGTGATGATGAAATACTGTTCTGATGAATTACTGTTATGATCAAATACGGTTTTTATCGAATACCATTTTGATGGATTACATTTTGACGAATAACGTTTTGTTATAATACATACCTACAAATTACGGAGCTATGTTTTACAAAGCGATGAAAAACGTGCTTACAGAATACAGTAACTATCAATTACGGTAACTACGAATTACCATTCTGATGGAATATATTCTTATAAATTATATTTTGATACATTATATTCTGACGTTTTGGGTGTTCCCCTTGGTTGACGCACAAGTGTGTAATGTTAACGTCATATTTCGACCACACACTGGCAAACATCAAATACAACACAGTATATTTTTTATATTTATGGATTGATATTTTGTGAAATACTGCCTGTAGGTTAATCGAGGAGGTGATACATTCATTATTCCAAATTTTTTGGGATTTTCTCTCTTCGTTTCTATAAAATAGAAATATGAATATCATTTCAATATACGTGTAGTAAGGACAAATTAGATGATTTGCCCCAAGATGTCACTGCGTTTAAAGAGGTTTCCTATCAGAGAGAGTAGTGAATTTTTTCTTTCAGGCTCTCTGATAGGAAAATTCTTCAAACACAGTGACATTTTGGGGCGAATCATCTGATTTGTCCTTACTACACGTATATCGAAATAATATTCATATTTTCATTTTATAAAGACGAGGAGAGAAAATCCCAAAATAATTGGAATAATGATATTTTGTGCTTTTCGAAAACACAATAGTTAGTACGACATTTTGGGTATTAGCCTTGTATATAGATAATTTTTATTGTTTGTCACACACTAAGCGAGTGCAGAATGTTTTATAATTCTTTCCACCTGACTACCTGTCTTGTTTCATACAATGGCGAATGATAACCAACCATCAATATCATCAACCATTATTACTGATTCTAACGACAGGTAGTCAGTTGACAAAAATTTCAAAACATTCTGCACTCACTTTTTTTCATTGCCACATACTTATTAGAATCACAGCTTTTATAGCCAATAAATTGTGGTGAATATTGGTGTAACAATATAAAATTGAAACTAATATGTGAGAAAATACTGTCAGCAACAGGGTAAATATGAACATTCGTGAAAATGTTGCCAAGGCCCATCAATAAGATATACCTACTGAAAAAACTGGAAATTATCAAAATACAAGTTTTGAAAAGCGCAAAGCATCTATCTGAAAAGTTCGTTTCGAAAATCTGACTAAGTATGCCACTGGATCCTCCGTGGAGAATGTAAACAAGAGACAACTTCTACTTTTTCTATACGTTCAGATACAGGTGGTCCTAAGAGGCAACATTTTGAATTTTGCACTATATGAAACGAAGCGAACTATGACAAATTGTGTTTATGGTATCATGAGTTTCACAAGAAAGTAGTCAACATTCGCGAAATCCGCAGATCTCTTTCTTTGAAAATGGGTAAGATATACCATTAGGACATCGAAAATGGTAAAGTCAGTACAATTCGATCAATGAAACGGGCTGATGAATTTCCTATAATAAAGTTCATTCATTACTCTTGTGAGCCGCACTTTGATGAAAAACAGAACATCTACTTATAAAACTGATAATATAATCGATATAATCGATATAATCGATATAATCGATATAATCGATATAATCGATATAATCGATATAATCGATGTAATCGATATAATCGATATAATCGATATAATCGATATAATCGATATAATCGATGTAATCGATATAATCGATATAATCGATCTGATCGATATAATCGATATAATCGATATAATCGATATAATCGATATAATCGATATAATCGATATAATCGATATAATCGATATAATCGATATAATCGATATAATCGATATAATCGATATAATCGATATAATCGATATAATCGATATAATCGATATAATCGATATAATCGATATAATCAATATAATCGATATAATCGATATAATCGATATAATCGATATAATCGATATAATCGATATAATCGATATAATCGATATAATCGATATAATCGATATAATCGATATAATCGATATAATCGATATAATCGATATAATCGATATAATCGATATAATCGATATAATCGATATAATCGATATAATCGATATAATCGATATAATCGATATAATCGATATAATCGATATAATCGATATAATCGCTTTAATCGATATAATCGTTTTTTTTTCGGTATCATCGATATTATCAGTATTATCGACATTATCGACAAAGCATGGGAATTCATCCCCAAAGGAAGTATTCCCAAGAACTTATTATCCAGAAGTTGGAAAAACACCTACCTCCTCTTTCTGTACTTCCTAGGTACGAACGATGTTCTCAAAACATTATGGGAATTTCCTTTCGTGTGGTCCAAAAATAAAAAAAAAACCAATACATGATCAACAAAAATAGCGTTGGTTCATTCTTTCAATATCATTTTGTATTATACGTCCACAGAATGAATCCCATTATAGTAAGGAGAGCTGGCTGCCCGAAGGATTGAGAAAACATTGTAGTTCATCGAACGGCACCTGTGCCAATCACCATCCTGAGCAGAATGATAGGATGATCAGATGTCATAATTCTTATTTTGTTATCAAATGGTGGAATCGAGTGCAAATTCCCGCACAGGAAAGTGCAATTTCTCCATCATTCTGCTCAGGATAGTGATTGACACAGGTGCGTTCGATAAAATACAATAATGTTTCCACATGACTTTGGGACATATATCATTTCATTATCTGATGACAGCGATATTTGCAGCTGGCTCTTGGACATAGTTAATTTATTCTCAACTTACATATTATTGCGATTCATTCATGAACCTACAACAAGTATGTGCGAAATCAGCTCGCAACACCCTTTTAATTTGGAACATGTTCTTCAGAATAAAAATTCCATTATGTAGTATACAACGAGCTCTTTTCGAAAATACGGACATCTGGAATATAAACAGATTGTCAAGGCCTAATACCTACTTCATATTGTTTGTTGAATGGGTCGAAATTTCAAAGTAGACTATCAGGCAACTTCATTCAGAAAAAGTGGATATAGCTGGAATACCCCCAGCCAGAATTTCAACGACAATATCTCTGTAGTTATTCAATATCAAATTTTGATATTTTTGCTTCATCATTTCACCCTGTATCAAAATCTGAGGAGTTGGCATAACCAGCGATGTAGTAGAGTAGTAAGGGACCACATCGAATACTAAGGTTGATCGTTGAAACTTCTACCATTATCAAACGTTGTGGAGATGATTTTGTATTTTCTAAACCTTCCTACAGGAAGATTCTTGAGTGTTATTCGGTGAGACAATTCAACAATTCAATGATTGCTTATCACATTATTGTCGATGGATTTTTCACAGATAAGATACTTTTGTGACAACGCATGATTGAGAAAAATTGACATGAACGCTCTCAAAAAGTATTCGTTTACAATAATTTTGGTTGTCATGGTTTCAAGTGTCAAGTTGAGGTTTGTCGCTGGAAAACTCAGAGCAATGTTTTTTTGCTGTCATAATGACAAAATCACAGCTTCTTACGGGATTTTTCATACATATGAATTGAATTGTCAGTACGATAATGAAGAGCATTTTCAAGGTTTATCGTCGAATAATTTCACGTAAAAGTTAGAATCAATTTAAAAAAAAGGTTGATACTATTTAAAAAGAAATTACTATCGCTGATACTAGTACATTCCCAGGGACGACCCTGATTTAATACATCCGCTGGCCGCCTTCTGGTACGTCCCTAGGATGTTCCAAGTACGAAGGAAGGATATACCTAGGACATCCCAGGGATATTCCAGGGACATTCCTTCGACAAAAGGAAAAAATGTAGGTCGAGTAGGTATTGAACCCGGGACCTTCAGCTCATAATGCACGCACCTTACTCCATTAGCTAATATGCCTTCTGAAGATTCATGTACTGAACAAATTTATGAACAGGACTAAACTACAGAAACCTGAATAAATACATTTTTGTTTGAAAATGAGGGGCATTATGCATTTACGATTTCTGTTTGCGAAAAATGGTAATTTCTCAAGAAGTTCTGATACATTCAATGACTGTGAATCGATATCAGATATTCCAGGGACACGAATAGGATATTTTAGGGATGTACCGGGCGGGATGCCAACTCGACAACCACTGCGGAACATCCCCTGGATGCCCCAATCATGTCCTTGTACCGCGGGACAAAGAAGGGACGTACCTAGGACATCCCTGTGTTATTAGGGGAGTTTGAATTATAAAAATATGTTCCTCCTAGTATCTGATGAGCCATTTCCTCGCATTTCCTACTATTTTTTGTTCATAGAAGTCGAATAATAACTTACGGTGCTTGTTTGGCTTGGGGCGTTTTTGTCGGTCAATCTATATTTCGTTTATTTTTTCGATAACTTTTCTTCAAATTCTTGGAATAATTTGAC